GTTAAGAGCCTAAAATAAAAATAGGTTTTATTTTAGGCGCCACAAAAAAACAAAAACATCAAATTCCAACCCATAATCATTACACTCCTCTCTCACAAAAAAAATCAAAAAAGGTCAAAAAACCAAAAAGTTCCTCCCAAACCAGGTTTTTTAGCCCCAGGCTAAATAGTTAAAAAGTCCAAAAAAGTCAACCCACTTCCCAAACTGAGGCTCACTCAAAATTGGAGAAGTGAGTAATGCAAAAAAGGTCTAAAAAATCAAAGTCCCGAAAAATTAAATCAAAAGGTCAAAAAACGACAATGCTAGTAAAGCTCAAAATTTTTGTGGCTCAAAAATGGCTCAAATCTGTCAAAACGACGTCGTTTTGGGAAAAAAACCAACAGATTTTGAGTGTAAAAACGACCGTCATTGAAAGATTTGAAAGGCCATTTGAAAAGCCATAAAAATTTGAAGCTATCCCCAAAAACATTTTCCGGTCCCAAATAATTCCCTCATATCATTTTATTCTCCAAATTTAATCCTAACCAAACACGTAATCCTACTTTGTCATCTTCCATCAATAATTTAAATTTAATTTTAAATGTTATTAAAATGAGAAATTGGGCTTAATTTATTATAAGTAGATTTAAGATAATTTTTATGATAATAAATTCAAGGTGTTTAGGTTAATTTAATGGTTTTAAATTTATTATATATATGTATGTTATATCTAATGGCAATATTTAATTAAAATGTTTATTAAATAATAAATTGGGTTTGAAAAGTAAAATTAAATTAAAGAATTTTATGATTTTTATTTTATGTTAATAATTAAGTTTATTTTAGGTAATTTAGATTAAATTTGTTTAAATATTTATAATATATATATCTATATAATACCATACGTAATCGTTTAATATTAAAATTTGATTAACTAATGTTAATATTAATGCGTAATAAATTAGGGTATTTATTTAATTTTATGATTTAATTTGTTATATATTGTTTATTTAAAATATATTAATAAAAAATTAAGATTGAAACTAAAACTTAGATTAAG